TGTATAGCAAGCTTGGTGCATATGACTTATATGCTCCAGGTTGAGCGGGAGTGTTGAAGTGTATAATTCTATATTAGAATATTATGATTGTAATCAATATATATTAAGAACAAAATCTGTAAAATAGGAAGTTAGATTATTCATTTCCTTAGATTATTCATTTTCTAGATTAGATTATTTGTTTTCTAGATTAATTCTTTATTTTCCTATATATTTGATGTATTATTTTTTTGATCAAAACACAAGAAATATAAACACACTATTAGTTCTCTCTGATTTTTCAAATCTTCGAATAACATTTAAAGCAGGATTCGCAAGTTTAACCTGAGTCAAGCTTCTATTTTCTCTTCTCTTCTCCTGACTTATTAACTGTGACATAGTCAAGCAGCCCCATAAGATCAATAAACCTGCCAAATCTGTCTCTCCAAATTATTTTCAAAGTTCAAGTTTCAGCTTCCAAGTGAGGAAGAAGAGTCAAGAGGCATGAACTCTGATTCTAGTTTTTCAACATTTTTCGATGATGGCCTAAGCTAGATTTAGTACACTGGCCAAAACTTGAAACTAATTTGCTCAATGTACATGAATAAATAATTTGGAGACGGGGCCAATTATAAGTATCGATATTCCAAATTATAATGCTTAAAACATATTAGAGAAAGAAATGTGTATATAGTAGATATTCACTTAACCAAGACGCAAGACTCACACATTGTGAATATAACAAGAAAATATTACCAGATGGTGTTTTCAAAATAGATGGATCCAAACGTCCAGATAAAACAGCACATATCAAATCCATTTCATCCACTCTAGGTAGTGAACTGAGCTTATTGAAGCAATTAGAATCATCTTTGGATCTTCTTGGGATGATAAATACCACGCAATTAAGGTCTCCATACTCCAAGTCCTACAAGAAATGATTTACCTAACAAAGGTCAGAAAACAAGACCCTAAAAACATCAGACTTCTTGTAAAACGTAGCAAAACATGAGTCATGACTACTGCATTTTATATTGCGCCTATTGCTAGGTAAAGCAATAGGCTACTACCAGTTACTGAATTATACAACTGGATGAACTATATAGTTGATTTTTTATAATGTTTTGGGGCCTAAATTAGAAACTAGAAACCTAAATCAAGTCAAGATTTGGAGATCCAATTGTGTTTGAGGTGGTAAAGGCATCTGACAATTTGGTCCATGCAAGACAAGTCAATAAAATATAAGAGAGAGAAAGAAAAGAGGGAAAGAGACAAATCAGATAGAAAACAACACATTAGGGATCTAATAGAAATTAGAGAGCCAATAGAGCTAAAGGGGAGAAGGAAATTAGGAAGATAGTTTTCATCATAATATTTCATTCATCAATCCAGAGAAAATATTTAGGCCTATTAAGTGTCCAGGTCCTAAACCAACAGGAATCTAGGATTCCACTTCTAATAAGTCATAAAATCCTACTTGCACAAGAGAATCTTATTTAGAAAAACCAAAATGTAACTTACAAAAGTAACAAATCCAGCTCAAACAAACTATCTCTAAATTACTAATATGAATAATAAAGCTTCTAGCAAAAAAAACCAATGCTTATTATTTCAAATGCAAGTTCCTAAACAGTTTTGGGCTGATTATGAAGAATACCTCCAATTTCAGGCAAATAAGCAGTCTTCTTCATCTATTGCCTCTATCGCTCAATCGGGTAATTCAATTGCATGCCTTACTCAATCTTCTTCTCTTGGACCTTGGGTTCTTGACTCGGGTGCCTTTGATCACATTTTTGGTAACCCTCAATTACTTGCTCATTTAACTAATGTTGCATCTTTACCATCCGTTATTTTAGCCAATGGCTCCAAAGCTGTTGTTAAAGCTATAGGTCATGCCAAACCACTTCCATCCTTAGAATTAGACTTTGTTCTCTATATTCCTAATAGTCCATTTAATATTGTCTCTGTCAGTAAACTTACCTGCTCTTTAAACTGTTCTATATCTTTTGATACTGACTCTATTGTTATACAGGATCGAGGCACGAGATGGATGATTGGCGCAAGACATGAGTCACAAGGCCTCTATCATCTCCATCTACCATCTCCATCTACCATCTATAGTATACTGTCTTTGAATCTCCAGCATTCCTTCATAATCATTTGGGTCATCCCAGTTTAGTAAAGCTTAAAAAGATGCATCCTGGTCTATCTAATTTATCGTCTTTAAATTGTGAGTCATGTCAGCTTGGAAAACATTCTCGTAGCACCCTTCCAAAGCGTGTCAATGAACAGGTTGCGTCCCCTTTTGAGTTAGTTCATTCAGATGTGTGGGGTCCTTGTTGTGTGTCATCTGTTTTAGGTTTTCGGTACTTTGTTACCTTTATTGATGATTACTCATGCTGTACTTGGTTATTCCTAATGAAAACTCGTTTCGAGTCATTTTCCATCTTTGAATCTTTTTATGCGAAAATTAAGACTCCATTTAATTCTGCTATTAGAGTATTACGCAGTGATAATGCTCGCAAGTATTTCTCTGATCCCTTTACTAAATTCATGTCTTCTCAGGGTATCCTTCATCAGTCCTTTAGTGCTTATACCCCACAACAAAATAGGGTTGCTGAGTGTAAAAACAGACATCTCATTGAAACTGCCTATACCCTGCTTTTACATAATAAAGTCCCTTTTCGTTTTTGGGCAAACGCTGTTTTGACCGCCTGTTTCTTAATAAATCAGATGCATTCTTCTATCCTCAACAACAAGGTACCTCATTCCATTTTATTTCTCGACCAATCGTTGTATTCTATCCCTCCTCGTGTCTTTGGGTGCACATGCTATGTCCATGTTTTCCCTCCTGGTTAAGACAAATTGGCAGCTAAATCTACTAAGTGTATGTTCTTAAGGTATTCACGTCTTCAGAAAGGATATAAGTGTTATTCTCCATCAACACATCGCTATTTTCTCTCTACTGATGTTACTTTTTTTGAGTCGTCTCCATTCTTTTCTCCTTCTACCTTAGATTGTGAGTCAATAACCACGGTCCTTCCCATACCATACATTACTAATCTTCCTGAGTCTGTCATAGCCCTACAATCTTCTACTACCAAGTCTCCCATTACATACCATAGTCTTGTTCCATTTACAGGTACTACTCCTGATTCAGCTAGTGTCCTTGAGGCTCCTATCGATGGTAGTCCTTCTCCTGATTCTTCCAATGCCACAGTCCCTTGGTATGCAAACTTCGTTGTTCTCTGTATGGTTTGAAACAATCTCCTCGTGTCTTGTTTGGACAATTGAGTACTGTTATCCAAGAGTTTGGTATGATTCGATGCAAGTCTTATCATTTTGTCTTTTATAGACATATATCACCAGGGCAATGTATCTATCTGGTTGTCTATGTTGATGATATTGTCATTACAGAGAGTGATCAAGATGGTATTGAACAATTGAAGAAGCATTTATTCATACACTTTCAGACCAAAGATTTAGAACTTCTTAACTACTTCCTTGGTATAGAAGTTGCTCAGTCCAAATCTAGTATGGTTATCTCTCAAAGAAAGTATGCACTAGATATTCTTGAAGAAACAGAAATGTCAAATTGCAAACCAATAGACTCTCCTATGGATCCTAATTTAAAACTCTCACCGGGACAGGGGAGCTGCTCACTGATCCTGGAATATATCGAAGACTGATTGGTAAACTTAATTATCTCACTATCACACGACCTAATATTTCCTTTTTTGTTAGTGTTGTAAGTCAGCTCCTATAGTCTCCATGTGATAATCATTGGGATGTAGTTGTTTAGATTTTAAGGTATATAAAAGGTGCACCAGGCAAAGGCTTGTTATATGAGAACAAGGGTAATTCACATATTGTTGGATATTCTGATGCTGATTGGGCAAGGTCTTCATCTGATAGATGTTCTACTTCAGGTTTTTGTGTTCTTATTGGAGGAGACCTAGAGTCTTGGAAAAGTAAGAAGCAAGCTGTTGTTGCCCGATCAAGCGTAGAAGCTAAATATCGTGCAATGGTCTTAGCTACTTGTGAGCTCATTTGGTTAAAGCAACTGATCTAAGAGTTGAAATTTTTAGAAGTGTCACAAATGAAGTTACTCTGTGATAATCAAGATGCTCTCCATATTGCCTCTAATCCAATATTTTATGAGAGAACTAAGCACATAGAAATTGATTGTCATTTTATTCGGGAAAAAATTCTTTCTGGATGTATTACCACTAGTCATGTCAGTTCCAACGACCAGTTTAGCAGACATCCTCACTAAATCTCTTAGGTCCGCGCATTGATTTTATCTGTAGCAAGCTTGGTGCATATGACTTATATGCTCCAGCTTGAGAGATAGTGTTGAAGTGTATAATTCTATATTAGGATATTAGGATTGTAATCAATATATATTAAGAATAAAATCTGTAAAATAAGAAGTTAAATTATTCATTTCCTAGATTAGATTATTTGTTTCCTAAATTAATTCTTTATTTTCCTATTTATTGATGTATTATTTTTTTGATCAAAACACAAGAAATATAAACACACTATTTGTTCTCTCTGATTTTTCACATCTTCGAATAACATTTAAAGCATGATTCGCAAGTTTAACCTGAGTCAAGCTTCTATTTGCTCTTCTCTTCTCCTGACTTATTAACTGTGACATAGTCAAGCAGCCCAATAAGATCAATAAACCTGCCAAATCTGTCTCCCCAAATTTATTTTCAAAGTTCAAGTTTCAGCTTCCAAGTGAGGAAGAAGAGTCAAGAGGCATAAACTTTGATTCTAGTTTTTCAACATTTTTCGATGATGGCCTAAGCTAGATTTAGTACACTGGCCAAAACTTGAAACTAATTTGCTCAATGTACATGAATAAATAATTTGGAGACGAGGCCAATTATAAGTATCGATATTCCAAATTATAATGCTTAAAACATATTAGAGAAAGAAATGTGTATATAGTAGATATTCACCTAACCAAGACGCAAGACTCACACATTGTGAATATAACAAGAATATATTACCAGATGGTGTTTTCAAAATAGATGGATCCAGACGTCCAGATAAAACAGCACATATCAAATCCATTTCATCCACTCTAGGTAGTGAACTGAGCTTATTGAAGCAATTAGAATCATCTTTGGATCTTCTTGGGATGATAAATACCACACAATTAAGGTCTCCATACTCCAAGTCCTACAAGAAATGATTTACCTAACAAAGGTCAGAAAACAAGACCCTAAAAACATCAGACTTCTTGTAAAACGTAGCAATACATGAGTCATGACTACTGCATTTTATATTGCGCCTATTGCTAGGTAAAGCAATAGACTACTACCAGTCACTGAATTATACAACTGGATGAACTATATAGTTGATTTTTTATAATGTTTTGGGGCCTAAATTAGAAACTAGAAACCTAAATCAAGTCAAGATTTGGAGATCCAATTGTGTTTGAGGTGGTAAAGTCATCTGACAATTTGGTCCGTGCAAGACAAGTCAATAGAATATAAGGGAGAGAAAGAAAAGAGGGAAAGAGACAAATCAGATAGAAAACAACACATTAGGGATCTAATAGAAATTAGAGAGCCAATAGAGCTAAAGGGGAGAATGAAATTAGGAAGATAATTTTCATCATAATATTTCATTCATCAATCCACAGAAAATATTTAGGCCTATTAAGTGTCCAAGTCCTAAACCAACAGGAATCTAGGATTCCACTTCTAATAAGTCATAAAATCCTACTTGCACAAGAGAATCTTATTTAGAAAAACCAAAATGTAACTTACAAAAGTAACAAATCCAGCTCAAACAAACTATCTCTAAATTACTAATATGAATAATAAAGCTTCTAGCAAAAGAAAAAAAAAAAAAAAAAAAAAGAATAATAAAGCTTCTAATCTTCATTCCGGATCATTTACCCCAGTGAAAAAACTCAACTCCAACCAATAAATTACAGCTTCGTCCATAGGGCTGAAAAGTTTTTGTAACCTATCAATTCAAACATTGCTAGTGAAAAGGCAAACAAACCACAATTTGTTTGGTATCCTTATAAGGACACGTATATCATGCTTTGAGCCAACCCCAAAAAAGACCAGTGTTGCATGAGCTGATAGCTGGCTTTCTCTTCTTTTTTTTTTTTTTTTTTTTTTTTGTTGGTTACCCCTTTTTCTTTTGTTTAGATTTTAGAAGTACCATGGGCAGTCACAGCAGGAAATGCATGAAATGAAATGGACTGGATATCAAAGTGATATAGATAAGTTGGCAAAATAAGAGAGAAAAATAGATTTTTTTTTTTTTTTTTTTTTTTATAATAAGAAGTTGAATTAAAAAAAAAAAAAAAAAGAAGTGCTATACAAAACTGAACAAGCATTCAACTGAAGAAGAACACCTTGAAAAAAATAGAAAAATCCATACAGAGTATGGCAATCAACCATCAAAATGACCAAAAATTTAGCCATAGCTCTGAACTATCACAACTAAACTACCCAAAACAATCTCCCATTTAATGAATTAAATAAAGAAGTATCTCAAACTCTTTTGCCACCATGACAAAAGGGAGTAAGAGTCTGTCTCTCTACACATCAAAGAGAGACAGAAATTAAAGAGAAGATAAAAAGAGAACAGAGAAAGAAAGAAAAAAAGAGTGGAATGCCTTAAATAGTTTATTCCATTTGTATATTGGGTATTTTAGTATTTTTTTAAGAGTGTCACTGATTTGCTTAGTCTGGTAAGTGGTTTGTGTCATTCTCTGAATTTTGTGAGGCTTTCAAGTTTGATGGGTTTTTAACATTTATGTCAAAAACCACAGCCACTCAAATATTTTTAGTAATTGTCGCAGGACAGTTTTGTTTATCACCCTTATATCATTTTAATAGTGATGGTTTTTTTTTATGTTAGATAAGAAAGAAATTATTGAAGTCATAGTTTTTCTAAGAGTTGAGTGACAGTCTCTGTTGAAAGTACATTGCTCGTTCTACTATTGCTTTTGAAGATCATGCTACAAGTACAAGGTGTTACGTCCTTTCTGTCATATTATAGTGGTTGTGCTTCTTTATATATAGAAAATCTATCTCCCCACATTGGATTTCTCCCAAATACAAGTCACAGGGGTGCCAAAGGTTGAATAACTATGGTTATAAAGTTCATGTTAGAAAACATGAATAACAAATCTGAGTGACTGATGGCAGATTTGTATTTAATTGATTGTATATTATTTTTTCTTTATTTTCTTCTCATTTAGCCTAGTTATAGTTGGTAGAATAATTTCCTTAATTGTAAGATGTATTATTATTCTCCTAGTTTTAGGTAGGATAGAAAGTCAACTTCTCTATATAAGTTCGATGTACCTACAGCATCAATATACAAGTTTTTACCCAATTCAAAAACCTAAATCAACATATAAATTATGTACCTTTCCAAGAAATGGAAGCATCTTGTATATAGGTTGAGGAAGCAGTTCATAACTCAAGCGCATGCCATTTACAGTCCTACTACAACATGAGTCAGTGGCAAGAGTTAACTGCTTCAACCTTTGAGCTGGTACCCCTAAAGATGAAGCACGGTTGCTAAATGCTAGAACATGAGCCAGATTCTGACTTCCTAAAGGTTGAGACCTGATTTGGTGAAACAAGCGTCAAGTGCTGGGTAAACCCTATCCCTAGCCTTAAAGATTTTTCTTTCCATATATGTTGAGAAACACAGGAAGTAATGATGATCCAATTTTCCAAGAGATCTCGGCCTTAAAAATGAAGTGTGAGGACTCAAGAACTCTCAAAGATCTTGGCAACGAAGAAACAGGGCAAGAAGACACGTGTCTTCTGATTACAGCAAAGCCGAGATATACAAGGAAACATGTGGGAGCCAAATGGAAACCTTTCCAAACCTGGCTTGCAATCTTATGTCATAAGCAAAGAACCAAAAAAAAAAAAAAAAAAAAAAAAAAAAAAAGAGAGAGAGAGAGAACTCTCAACTGTTCTACAAAATTACAAAAGTACTAAAACAAGTCGAACAGCTGACCACACTACAAAGAAATGAAAAGATAATTGTTCTTTTCTAAAAGAACAGAACTTTATTTAAATAAAATTTAACCATTTGGTTGCATCATAAGTATGGCATTCAAAAACATATTATGAAATAGCATTCCTAATTTTTCGAAGAGCAAGAAAAACATACTTGGCTGCCTGAACAAAATCTTTCAATGGAGAGAGTCTTTGCGCCGCCCAATTCCAACAGTGACTGCAATCGATACCCATATTTATACTGCATGAAGAATATGGATAGGTAAACATCAAAAGAATCATTTGGACTCTTCACAAAGATAGTTCAACATGAATTATTACTAGCACAAGAGTATAATTATCCATTACCTCTCCCTAAGAGATCAACAATAAATTTTATCATGCTATAACTAGAAGTCAAGTTTCCTTTCATTTTTCTTTTCACTTGTTTCATGTGTTAGTGTGTACTACACATTTAAATATCAAAATAAAATATAGAAAAGAAGTAAAAAGGAAAAGAATATTAAGTTCCTTCACCAATTTAATCATCAATGATATAAAACTTCTGAGAATTTAAAATAGAAATTCAAAATCTTCAAAGTGAAAAAGGAATAGAAATTTCACCTCGTCTATCGATTCCAACAGAAAAGTATATGCTTCCAAACAGTTCTTACGAGTTTCTGAGTTTGCAAGTTCAAATGGCACTCCCTCTACCATCAATGTCATAATAGAACTGTGGGAGAAAATTAAAAAGAAAAACATTAGATAACATGTACCTACCTCTGCCCTCCCTTCTCCAACACCCTGATTTTTATTGTTCAATAATCATTAATCCTAAAACTTAAGTTTACGCGAACAGGTCAAAAGCAGTTCTGAAGTTTTAATAAATCCCCAAATATGCAAGGCTGGATTTAATCAATGGGCTTTTCACATGGATCCAATGTAAGCTATGGGTTGTGTTTCAGTAAATAGAATGAGCATTTTTCACAATTTGGGCATAGAGCCTCTTATTCAAAAGTCTCCAATACCTTTTAGAACCATCAACCTGCAAAGCTTAACTAATTGGAAAAGGTTCAACATAATATCTAAGTTATGCCATAATGCAGAACGGGAAGAAAAAAGGGAGAAAAAGAAGAGAGGGAAAGGAGGAAGAGAAAGACTGAAGCAGAAGAGAGAGGAACAATTGGGGTTTTGTATGTCTCAAATTAAGCCAATCTGTGTCTTCAAGAAAACATAAAGAGGCCATATAAGAAACAAAAAGCAGACTAAATTATACTCAAAGAAAGAAACCTAATATAACTTAAAGAAGCAAAAGAAACCCAATCTAAGTAAATCAAGTAAAAGAAACCTAATCTACCTCAAGGAATTGAAAATCCCTAACATAAAATAATGTCCCAAAATACCAAGATATTGCATTTTAAGTATTAGATTCTATGCCTACATCTACAAAGGTAGGTCTCTAGACTGACCTCCACCATTTTATTTCACGTATCCAACATTGACACAATCTAAAGAAATGAATTATTACATACAATATAATCAGTGTATGACTAATGTAAGATCATGAAATATGTTATTTATTAATGTTTTCTATATGTCCCTTGTTGAATTGAATAAAATAAGGAATCATTCGATAAAACATCTTTTTTTTTTTTTTTTTTTTATTCACAAGCTATAAACCACAATATACTCACTAACTTAATCACAATTAATCCAGGAAGAATGTCATAAAAATAAAAAAATTCACAGCGGAGGAAAGAATGAAATAACTTACAAATTGCAGCTAGGAAATTCAGTGCAAATGCTTTTCTCTGCAACAGACTAAATATATAACAATAATTAGTATTAATACGCAACAATATCTTTACAGTTGCTATACTTTACTTCTGTTCAACGTTTTAGGCAGGAATAATTACAGTAAGATCTCTGTCTTTGGCTTAAAGAAACAACAGGGGCCGTGGTCTCAAAATCAACACCAGAGATTCTACAACTAAAACTGTTTGCCTAAATCTACAATCTAACGCGTGCACAATCTTCAAATGTCTTTGATACCACAAATCTAAACCAAAACTCACAATTAAAGAAAAAACATAACAAAATTACAAGAATGAAAACCTTCTACGTCACAAAAACACTGTCGTTTAACATAACATAACATTACATCACAGATGAGGTATTTAAATCAACAATCTTTAATATCAAGAAATTTGTGTTGATATTTGAAAAAAAAAACAAAAAAGAAGGGAGGGAGGGGAGCTCTTGTTTCTTTAAGGCAAAGGTCATGACCTCAACGATATTACTCCTAGAAAAATACCATTCAATTGATTATCAGATTTATGCATGTATAATGAACTAACTAAAGAAAAATATCCTAAACCTGTCATTTTAAAATGAATTGAAATGCAAAAATCGTTCACTAATCTAGAAACAAAAGATGGGATTTAAGAACATATCAAATACCATACTCATGAAATGAGCATTGTCCAAACTAGAATTTATTCATTCTACGCAAAAGAACCCACTCAGGCATTATTCTTACAATATAGCATAACAAATTGAGAAACACAAGAAAGAAAAAGAAAAATGTAATAGCCTGAGCTCAACAAAGTAGATTTTGTCTTATTCAAGCTTCACGTAAGCTTCCTTCACTCAAAACGCATCTACTTAGTTAAGCGAACCCAAAGTTTATAAACTAGCCCAAGCTCTCATTAGCTAGAGATGTACGATGTGACCAAGAGAGAGAGAAGAACCGGAAAAATAAGTTAAAATTTTTGAGTGCGAGATACTTGATTTTCTCCTTAAATAACTAATCCCTACAATGGTGCTCTTAGCCTAATGAGCTTTGAATCCAAAACTAAAGCTAAAACATTCAACTCTTAGTAACATACACTTCCCTAATGAAGAAGAAAAGAATATTGTCAACCAGTTGAAAGTGAAACACCTCACTCTTCATCATAACCAACCTGAATGCAACTCAATAGATTCCCTTCACCCACTTTGTTCGTCGGTCTATTTAATAAAAAGAGAGAGAGAGAGAGAGAGAGAGGATTTCCTCAGCTTAATCCTCTTAAGGCACCAAAACAACCCCTTGGACACCTATTTATAAGACTGAAAATTTAATAAGTACATCTATCCTTCATCTACCTTCTCTATTGGACCCTAAAGCCTTTAATCAAAGGAAAAATCCAAAACTTACCAATGAAAATGGTCATAAGCCTTTTCAAAGCTAATTTTGATCACCATCACCTCTTTTCTTTTAGTACATTCCTCCACAACTTGGTAACTAACACAACAACAAAATCATCACATCCTTCACGAGATTGAGCTAGAAATGATATTCCTTAGCAATTAAATTTAATCTCAGGTAAAGCACTTTAAAGAAAATTTATAATCAGACATCTTGATCGAGCCTTTTTTCATCAAAATACAACATATGATGAAAACGCTCATGGAACTTCTCCTTGGATTGAAATGTTGTAACCAAATATTTTGCAATAAAAAAAGCATAGGCCCCCAAACTGTCAAATCATAAATAGGACAATGATGAGAAGTTGTCGTGGGTAACACTGCTTGCTCAATACAACTTCTCTTCTTTATAAATATTTTTAAATAAAAAATAAATTTAATGTTACAGTAAAAATTAATTAAAAAGAATAAAACAAATTGGAACTACACTCTGATTTCAAAAAAATGATTCCCAAAAGTAAAGAAAACCTGATAGGAACTCACTCCAATAACTCAACAATTTGGGCTGGGCCATGGGTCTTTCATGGGCTTGGGTAGAACTCTCCTTGGAAAACCGGCTTGCCAAGGGAGGGTGCCCAAGCCTTTATAACCCACATGCCCACCCTTTTTCCTTTCAATGTGGGATCCCAACAAAACCATTAAAAGTTGTTTCCACTATTCTTTTACATGTAAGTTAAGACAAATGAAAACAGAACTTTGTACTTTCAGGAAGAAAAAAAATGAGAACAAGTGCCAAAAAAGTATTTGGAGTATTATGAGAGAAAGCATGAAAAGAAAAAATGAAATCAGAACCAAACACGACCTCAGTCTTATTAGAAACGTTATCCTAGTGTGAATCCTAATTGGAACGCAAAACTTAAAAGTAGTCTTAGCACTGTGGAAGTGTTTCACACTCTTTGGAAACTTAATCAAGACAAGATTCAAAAAAATCTTTGTGACTAGAAATCCTAATCTTCTTCAAAGATAGATTAATTTCGTTCAAATGTTACCAAAAACGAATAGGATTAAGGTTGGTAAAGAAAAGAAGTCATAGTAAAACCAAACTCAAAAAACAGCTATATGTTATATCATCTATCATAATTGGAGTGGTATTTCTACTTTTCCAAGCACAATTTGAAAGTTGCAGAGTGACTAATCTGAACTTCAAAACACACATGACAAGCATAACACTCTATTAAATGCTTTAACAAATGATATGACGCATTGATTTAAGCAAGACAAATATAGTATTTCTTTCTTGGTTTTCTTTCTTTAAATTTAAATTTTATAACAAAGAAAATCTGGCAGAGAAGAAAACAAGACTCCATAATAGAGTTAAGAATGTGCAAGCAAGAGAAATATCCCGATACCCAGTTACATTTAAAACCTCTATTGATAACTTCATACTATAACTAACTAAACAGCAAGCTAGTTTCCCTAGACAGCAAAATAAAAGTTAATAATTGTGTACCTCAAGCCAACCATCAGTAACAAGAGGTTTTTTAGCCAAAATAGCATCAATGAGATCTTTTGTTAAAGGCATCTGATTATGAACAAGAACATGTGTGCACTCCAGACAGAAATTACTGGTAAGATAAGCACCTGTTGTAAAAGCAAATTATTTGTTAACCATGAATAATACAGTATCATAAAATAAACAAATTACTTCAAAAGCAGAAGGCTGATTCTCTTACATGTATCATAAACTGCCTAAAGCGAAGTAAGAGAGTATTTACAAATATATTAAGGAAAAAGATTGAAGGTTTCAATTGTGAAAAGGGGCTTCAAACAACATAATCATAGTCCCCAGTAGAGATATCAGCATCATATTTTGTTGAAAGTTGGGACAACAATGTCAAATGATGTTGGAATAATCGAAACAGAATTAATAGTGCAAATCGACTACTGAAGAGATCAGCTACTGAGATTACAAGCAATAAAATATACAAGCAGCACTACGAATCTGTTTCTATTAATCTCAGAATACTATGTCTGATACAACAGAGAGACATGCGTTCACCCTCAGATTTGAATTATGGGTCTGCTTTGCCAAAATCTAGGAACAGAAGTAACAGATTTCTCAGGACATGAAATTCTATAATTACTCAATTGAATGCTTATATCTGAGAGATTATTCGCATGAAACAATGCATACAGTAGACTTGGTTTACAGTACAATTTCCAAAATCACATACATTAGACAAAAAGGTCTATCACATTCCATATGCAACACTCAGATACATGCTTTTATGTCAGATCATAATAAAAAAAACCTATAATGTTCCATTCTTAGCATTCTCAATACTTCCCTTCAATTCTCGACTCTTTCTCAAGCCTTGTTCAAATATATGTTAAAAGAATACCTTAATTAGGGGTGAAATATAAAGAATAAGCTTCATAACATATTAGCAAATACATATAGAAGTTTCCTACTTAAAAAATGAGTCTCACTGACCTATTGATGAAACTTTTTCTTGAATGGAAGCATTTACTTGGATAAGTTCAGAGCAGTAGACAAAAAGTTGGAGCGGAACATAAGAAAACCTGTCTAATTTTAATTGCAAAGAATATGACTAAAGCAAAATAAAATTATGGCAGTAGGCAAGGTGATAGCATAAATGTAACTAACATTTAATAAGTACTTATACATAACAGCGCTTCATCTAACAATAAACTAATATGAACAAAAGAGTCATCCTAATAACGAAATTTCATCAAAATTAAGCTAAAACAAAATGCCTGACTAACTTTCCAGAAAATTAAACTTTAAAAAAGAAAAGAAAAAAAGCCAAATCGTAAGTACAGAAGAAAACACAAATTACCTGTAGGTTGCACTACCAGTTCCAAATGAAATTAAGTCACCATCTTTGAGAGTTGTTTCTTTATCCGGAAATTCATGAAGTTTTTCCTTCGACCCACCATTCTTGTTAATAAATGTTCCATACTTAGAGCAATCTCGAATCCGAACATTGGAGTTTATGTTAGAAGAACTTCTTTGCAGGGGATATAAGGAAATCATTTCATCAACAAATATCTCCGCATGGATTCGAGAAACTCCTTTGTCTTTATTGATAATTACATCACATCCTAAAAGGCGAGATTAAGTTTAAATTGATGCATTATAATGAACTTGCATTAGATGTATTAAAATGCAATATCATTCTATGGCAACTTTTATTGTCATAAACCAACTAGAATAGAATTTAAAAGAATAAAAAAAAAAAAAAATCACACAGCCTAAACTCATTTGGTTCTTAAAGTACAAATATGAACTACATATAAATTCAATTAAAGCGACCAAAAAAATTAGAAAAAACAACAGAACTTAAGAGAATTAATCAATTACCTTTGCGACCCACTTTGTAACTCCCCCTGCTGAATATGTAGTATTTATCTTCGCCTGTGCCATAAATAATAAATCGCTAGTTACAAATACTTATATTTTTTTTTTCTCCGATGCTTAAGTCAAAGAGGAGATATTTGAAGAAGAAGATGTAGTAAACCTGAGAGAGGATCAACTGGAAAGACACCCCACACCATCTTTGATAAACAAAGAAACTTAATTCAATAACTCAATAAACTTTCAAAGACGAAAGGGGATGCACTACCAAACTTGAGCAACAGTGGAAGACGGCATTTTATTTTACGGTCGGCCACGGGGCGTTTTACTTAAAAAAAAAAAAGTACGGTACTGAATACCTATGGATCATGAAGATGGTGTTCATTTACCTTTTTTTTTTTTTTTTTTTTAATATGTTTTTGTTTTTAAAATTCAAAATAAAAAGCTTTATTATGTATTTTTTGAATTTAGAAATATGCTCATTACTATAGGGTTGCAGCCGAGCCAAACTGCTCGTGGCTCAGCTCGTGTGGAGCTCAAGCTCGAACTCAAACAATTCTAAAGACTGATAAGTCGAGTACCAAGCCTGCTAATACTCAGCTCGTAAGCATGCGAGCCTAAGTAGGCCTGTGTAAATTTTAAAAAGACCCTGCAAATTGCTCTTGACCCTAAATTGCAAAACTAAAAAATCAGAATACACCCAAAACAGCTCTCAACGAATGGCGAATGGCAAACTTGCTTCCGTTTTTGCTCTCCATCTACGGCCAGCCTCTCAAATCTACTTGCGTTTTTTCTCATCAATGCCATCATCATCCAATTAGCCTCTCATTTATGTTCTCCTCTTATCTTTGAAGAAGAATTATTGAAGGTATCTCTTGACCTTGAGTCTTGACTGTTCTTTTTTTTTTTTTTTTTTTTTTTTGGTTTATATTGTTTTGCAATCTTTTGATTTTTTTATTACTTTTTTGGTTTCTTGGGGGTGTATTTGTCCTTTTTTTTAAAAGTTGGGGGGTAATTGAAATTTACCCAGGTACTCGAAACCAGAACAAAATAGACCAGTTTTGATTTGTTCTGGTTCTTTAAAAAAATGCAAAGTACCTGGAATCAACCACCCTTAGTTTTTACTCAAGGAAGACGTCCCTTGCCATTTCATAGTAAGGCTTTATCTAAGTAGCTTCATAATCTTTCTATTTAGGAAAAAGAAATACTTGTCATCACTTTTGCACTTTCCAAATGGAGACCATATTTGTTAGGAAGACATGTTAAAGTTCTCACTCATCATCATAATATGATGTACCCTTGTGGAATTTGTGGAGTTATTAAAATTCACTTTGGCAGGAACCAAAGACTACATAATGTTAGGGGTGTGGAAATCCAAGTAACTGGACCAGATTACCAATATTTTGAACCAAATCGGTTTTTCCGTTCAAGAGATAATCTAAACTGAAATAGGACCAAATTATCTCTTGAACCGGTTACTAACCGAACCGATAATTTGGTTTGGTTACTAGTTAACCAATTTATGAACCGGTCTTATAAAACAATCCCCATTACCCCATTATTTTGAGGGTTCACGATGTCAAACTACCCTCCCCAACTTCCTCGCACCGTCAAACCACCAAGACTCCACCTTCCACCCCATCAACTCATATATAATCGTGATATCTGAACTTTTTTGGATAGAGTAACCTTTCTAGAGAGAGAAAAAGAAGAAGATAGGTGAATAAAAAAGCTTGCGAAACTTAGAAAGTTGAAGAGATTAATCAAAGAATTTAATCTTATCAAACGAATGCTATTGGGTGTGGAGGTTGTTGTCGAATGAGATGGAGAGACCACTTGGAAAAAGAATAAAGCCAATTGTGATTGGGAGATGAATTGGGAAAAAAAAAATCGGTCCAGTAGCTACGACTACGGTGGAAAGTTGATTTAGGAAAACCAATAATACTAGCCTCACAAACATCTCTCACTAACACCTCTCACTAACCTCATGTGGCAGCTCGCAATTGGCTTAGTCAGGCAAGACCCAGTGTTGGACAGGTGGGACCCATGCGAGCTGATCAATTGCAAGCTGACACGTGGCATTTGTGAGAGAAAGTTAGTGAGAAGTGTTTGTGAGTGTAGTGTTACTCTTAGGAAAACAAGTACCCTAACTCAAAATAGGAGGCAAAAGGGTGCTTGTAATTGTAGGAGAAGAAGCAATAGATATAAGTGGGGACCGACAGGGGAATGTGAGAGGTGGTGTGGTATCTAAAAACGTGAGGACTAAAGAGTGAATGAGTGTTTTAATTTTTAATTAAAAATGGTGAGAGTTCCAAGGAATTAAATGCAAAGCAAGCGTGCATCCCTGTTTGTTAGTTTTTTTAATTTCTTATTTTTTAACTCTCTCACTCTTCATCTTCCTCTGGTTTTAGTTTTAAATTTTTGGAAAAACTGGTTTTGGTTAACTGGTTCAAAATTACAATTGAATCGTTAACTGAACCAGTTTTTCGGTTTTCTCTATTTTAAAACCTGAAATCGAACCAATTGCTTTGAAAAACTGGTTTTCGAACCAGTTTCGATTTTGTTTTTGCAGCCCTACATAATGTCATCTCTTACACACTGCCAACCACCAATATACAGCCTCCATACTCCATATTCATGTCTAGCCCAATAGTCATGTATCATCAAGTCAACAAAATCTAACATTGTTAACCTACCAAAATATTAGTTTCCCCAAACAGTATGGAAAAAAAGAAATTCCTTGTATCAAGAGAAACATCATACAAAAAAACAAAATCATTTTCACAAAAGCCATCAAATTTAGATCTTATCCCCTCTTAAGGTTGTTCTTCACTTCAAACTCTTCTTCTTCGCAGCCAAGTTCTCTTGAAAATTTAAGGTCTTAGCTGCATTTAAAAGTGTTATGCCTAAAAAATAAGGCTGACAAGCACTAATAAGAGTTCTAGAAGGCTTTGCACCGTCTAGAGTCTGCCACGTCTCCCAAGAAAAAAGAATATAGTTGTTAACAACCCAGTCGACTCAAGTTTTGTCTGTGAATGAATTTGGTTCGCTCACCTGTCCAAGCTCTATTTAATTTAAGGATATTTCTTTGGTTCTCAGCCAAAGGGATGTCAAGAAGGATTTGCACAGCACTAACCCACTTGCAAATATATAATCATTACCTTAGGCTCAGCGGGTATAAATAGGCAGCTCCCCCTCACAAAATCGAGATCAGACACTCTGAATTCAACAAAGAAAATAACAAAGACACACCATGGGAAAGAGACTAGCTTGATATTCCTAAGAACACTTAGAACACCAAGCATCTGTGACTTAGATCGCAGTTCGCGACCTCTTCTAATCTTGGCTAAATAACCAAGAACTCACTACTATAAAAGAAAACAATGGATGTAGGATTCGTTTTAAGCATCCGAACCACTATAAAACTCTTATTGTCTAATTTACTTTACGTCTTTGCATGCTACTGTAGGAACAATACTTTATTTAATTCTCACAATCATTCACGTGTGATTTCTAGGACTTTCACGTGTGATTTCTAGAACTTTCATAGCACTTTACACGTGCGAGTTCGTTGGTGTCAAAATCAAGCATCAATAAAAAGCATGTCCATTCCACCTCAACCTCCATCTAATTCCTTCTCACTTTTCGCAATCAGTTCCTTTTCAAGATTTTCATATGGTGATATATCCTCTCTACTTTTCTATTTCTGTCCATTTTCATATGCCTTTATACTGTTGTCTCTTTTCTTTTTCTTTTTATTTTCATATACCTCTTTTACCTTGCGTATTTCTTTGAAGTCTTGCTTCACCATTTCTGCAAAACCATCCACGCTTAGGAATTGAACTGTGTGGTGGTTCCATACAATAGATATGCTATGCATGATCACAAGCTTCACATAAAGCAATTTTGTCATCATCTTTATCAATAAAGTAGCCTCAACATAGACACGAAGGGCAGAGCCAATGGGACCCATACGATTTTGTTTGCTTTGGTGTTAAACACCTATCATGATAAAGCTTATAGGGGTAGTAATCGTGGTCACAGTATTGAAACTCATCACACGTTGCTACCCTGACTCCATAAATTCAAATTGGACCTTTATTTGGAAGAGACAAAGTTTGATTGCATCAAACATTATAATATGGATATCTTTGAGCATTGGAAGAGCAATTGTGATTGTTATCCGACCACGATGGTGTAACACCCAACATTGAGGTACATGATTTAAATTATGTTGTATAGCCCTCAGTTAAATTTTGTTAGAATTATTTTAAGAGAATATGAAGAAAATGCCTTAAATTTGCATTAAGGGTAAAATAGTCTTTTCACTCAAAACTAGTTGATTTTGTGGGGAGTGAAAAGAGATAGAAAATCATAGAGAATTCAATAAAAGTGAAGGCATTTTGGTAATTGACTAAGGGACAAAGATGGAATTGCTTTCTAAGGGACAAAGATGGAATTTCTAGGAAAGAGTAAGGGCAAAATGGGAAAGTGAGTTTATAAACTAAAATGTTAAGGGTTTGAAACCCTTATTTCGTTCATACCACCCCCACACTCCTCCTCCTTTTTCTCTCAAATTTTCATTCACTTTTCCAAGGAATTTGAGGGCTTTTGAGTAGATTTTCATAGGGTTTTGATTCAAGGCATCAAAAGGTAAGGATTCATACTCTTTATCTATGATTTATTTGTGTAAAGGTTGAGTTCTTATGAAGTTTATGCTTAGGGTTAAGAGAAGATTGGAATCCAACAAGAGTAGAGAGTTTAGGAGAGACTACTCAAGCACAAGGTAAGTAAATTCCACTCAAAATCCAACTCAAGCTAAAATTTAAGAATTCAAGTGAGTAGAGATTTATTTTAAATATGCATATGTTGTGATTATTGAGAAATTGAGATGAGATGTATGATGTATTATGCTTATTGTTGGATATATTTGAATATGAGAAGTATATGTGATGATTTGATGATGGGTTGAAATTGGAAGAATTGGAGAAATTTTTTTGGGAGTGTGTTTGCCATGTAGGTATGTGATGCTACAAGAGAGTTTTTCTCTCATTTTGGATGGTTTGAGAAATAAATAAAATGATAATTGAATTAGGGTTTGTTTGTGCACAACTAATGTTTGATGAAATGCCTAAGTGAAAACATGTTACCAAACTGCCCTGTCACAGTCGTGACTTTCTAAGTGATTTTTGGGCATCTTACAGATTGAACTGGGTTTAGACCAAAACATAAAAGTTGTAGCCCTGTCTCTAAGCTTTAAAACGAGACTAAAACCGTATCAATCCGATATGTATAACTCAAGTTATGTCTTCTTGAGTGTGA